GAAATATGGATCAGCTCTGGGGAAAGGAAAGTGTGAAAAGGCAAAGTGCCAGAATTACTCGCAGATTCTGATACCTTAATAATACTTCATCCTTTCACCTTCCACTGAAGTTGGCAGGCTGAGCTGAACGAGGGAACCATACAGTATCCAAACCTCACAGAACACATAACTTTGGCAACTAACACTACTGCCCTTCACCTGACTCCATCCATTCCCCCTTTCTCCTTTTAGATATGTCATCATCTCTTTAACACATTATGAATTGTTGTCTTGCAGCATCAGCAGTAGTACCTCTCCATAGGCATTCTAGTCACAGAATTAGATGGAATTTCACAGTTAATGAATCTATCCCTCTGCTTTGTAAAAAACAAAAGTTTTCCCAAATGATCCCTTTCATCAATTTACCAAAGAAAGTTAAGCTCCTTGTACTGCATCTCAGGAAATTGCTATTCCAGAACCTCACTTTCATTTGCTGTATTTGGATAAAGACAATACTGCCCTGTGTGAGATCTCAATGGCAGCTCCCTTTTAATGCGTCCAGCTGGCTATTTGTTTAAGTTGCTTTTATAGCAACTACTTGTAAATCCCGAGCAATCATAAAAAACTGCAGTATGCTGGAAAAATGTTTGCAGCTCGCCCTCTGTTCTATAGGCAGACAGTTGTGGTCCCCAGGAAGCCATTTTGTTGTCATAGTTTACTTGAAAATTAACTGAACAGCAGTACGAAAGACTTCTACCTTGCAGTCCCTTCCACATCCTTTGAATTTCTTGAATTCCTCCTCCCAACAATGCCCTGCTGTCTCTTACATGTAGCAAAGATGCAGGTATTTTCTGTTAACTCTGTCTCTCTTGTGCTCTTCCCCCATCCATAGACACAGAGGATTCATGAGGAAGTAGATCCACAATCCTATGCCAACCTTGTTGGCTTTATTTAAAAAGAACTGATAAAAGTGCTTTCAGAAACAAAATATACATCTTAACACATGCCCCAGGGGTCCTGACACTTTGTGTCTCCATGTGTGACAACTCAAAATCATCCCATGCTTCATGCTACCTCTGTGCCTTCACAGCAACAGCCTCTTCTCCTAATGGGCCTTACAACAAAGCAAATGGTATCAGGCCATTTTGGGCTGCAGGATCAGAAGCTAGCAGCTGCATGGATCCTTTCTTAGAGCTTCTGCTATCAGCTGCCTTCTCTTCTTGAAAAGATTCAATAGCATCTTAGCCTGTAAGTTATCCAAACTTTTGTTGTAATGACAAAGAGCCACACCAGTCACACTCCTCTTTCTCCCCTCCAAGAATAAAAAACCTCCCCACCCTTCTTCCATTTTTTGCTTTTCTCCAGCTTCTTGTGGACAATGCCATATATTCCCACTTCTGGTGAGTACAAAAAGAAAGAGAGTGCACCCCATTTTTCTGCAAAAGACCTTAAAATCACAACAAGAAATCAAATTTATTGTTGACCTCAGAGCCAAAACTTTTATCCTCCTCTTTGTTCCCAAGATGGCCTGCAAAACCAACAAAACCAACAAAAAATTAAATGAGTAGCAGTCACTCGCAGGTACAATGTCCTGAAATAGCTGCGCCTGGAGACCACTAGCTAATGGACTGCTATGGCCCCCCGGCAGGACCAAAAGCACTGATTCTGGTCCACCATCACAGGGAGGGAAAAGTAATCTCTGATAGCTGTGCTTTCTGGGATATGAGCAGTGCTAAGGAAATAACAGCCTGTGAAACCGAGACACACAACATAACCTGTGACTTAGTGTCTGAGTCTATATAATAACGCTTGTAAACTTGGAGGATTTCTAAGGAGACCTGAAAAGTGTACTGGAGTTGCAACCTCAGTGTAGCAGGAATCTTACTTTTGTGGGCAAAGCACCATTGGAGACATCTCCGGCAATAACCAGTGGCCACATCGCAAAGTAGATTTCTAGATTTTCTTCCTGTTACTAGATTCAAACAGCAATCGCATGACTACATTTAAGATCCTTACTGGTCAATGCCTGAAAATGCATTTTTATGCTTACTCATTTAACGCCATTAACCCTACTTGATGATGACAATTTCACCCGTTGAAACTATGTAACACTGCACTTGTACTCTAGAAAAAATCATCCCTAAAATCTTGTCCAAAAGTGTGAATTTTCTTGAACACAAAACCCCAAGGTCAGGTGATTTTATAGTCCTGTGTGCAGCCTTTTTTCCTGTGTCCACGTGCAAATATTAATTCTCTACTGAAATTGGTTATTTCTGGTCATGAATATTCTCATGTTAAAGAGGAAGAGTGCTAAAAACGTAAAGGATGAACTGGAGGTACACAAGCTCTTCCCTCTGCTAACGACAGGCAAAAGATGTGGCTGTGCTGCTGCCATGGCGGCGTGCAGCTCAGAAGCGTCAACAGTAACGGTTCTAGAGTCTCCCCGCATCACCAGCCCTGTGCCTGCCACAGCTGCTCAGCAGAGCAGTCAAGACAGGCTGCCACTCGCTCAGCTGAAGACCCCTACCCGAGGAAAGATGTGAATCCCTGCTACAGGGGGAATGTTACCTGCTGCAGCTAGCAAAAAACGTGCTGCCAACCTGGCATCCTGCCACGAAGGAGGTCCTCTACAGCGCTGCTTCTCAGGTAGTTAGACCTTTCTGTCCATTACACCATCACTTACATGCTTTCCGGGTATAGACTGAGAACTGGTGAAAAAGCAATAAATAACGTAAGTTACATCTCTTCTCGAGAGCCCATTAACACAGTTAGATATAAGACTACTCTAAATAACTGCTGTACACATCCTTCGTAAGGAAACGGGAAGCCTTTAAGTATTTTTGAATACTGCAATGATAATCAACGTTTTGGGTGTGATTTTATCTATAAATATGTAAAATAAATATAAAAATGACAGTGCTGGCTGGTAACATCGTTCTGTCAAACGTCCAATTGTTTGTGGTACCGCTGCATTTAATTTTACTAATTTAAATATTAACAATGTCGTAAGTTGCTATTTTGGTAAAGTAACATCCCTAAAATCCCCAAAACATATTGTACCAGCAATTATTGTATATAATACTCTGAGGTTGCTAAATAACTAGTGAGATTATAAAAGTATGTTTCACAAGACAGTTTAGATTACCAAGAAAATCCACTAAACAACTTAGTAAAGAAGAGAACCCTCCCACATAAACATTTTTAAAAACTTCAGTTACGTACAGTTAGTCCTTTATAGGTAGCCAACATAAAAACATAAGTAGGATTATGTAGAAAATCAGAAGCCCCAGAAAAAGGAAAGTATTTTCTGCTCCTACAAGTTACTTTATACACTATTTCGAGTAAGCATTTAATCTTAAGCATATGGAGAGAATATTTTATGGTAAGTACTACACATTTAAAAAAATTATAGGGCTTCGGAAAAGCTAGTCTCCCAATTAATTTTGTTTTTTGAATCTAAGTTGTAAAAGTTGGCTGCGAAATACAAATGCAATCAGGATGTTACACAAAATAGCCATTTTCATTATTTCAATTATTCAGTCAATCCACTACAACCAAAATCAGAAGACGTGTTTTTACTTTTGATATCAGGAGATACAGATATTTTAAATTTGAAAAGAGAGGATGAGCTTGCCAAAAGCTACAAACCATTTCTATGAACTGTAGCTTCCACCCTGCCTCCTCGTGCACTGAAATGTGATGTTTCACAGGCGACAAACACTGACCTTGCCTCGGTTGGTTTGTCAGGGCATAGGATGACCTTAACGCAAGACCTTCAACTCTGGAATTGATACTTTTTGTTTTCAGATGGGCAAGCCTCCTCACGTCTGTTGACCTTCTGTGCACATTGCAAAATCTGTCAGTTCACTCGAGTTTTTCCCCGGGTCAGACATAGCTATGGAACAAAAATGTAACCTTGCAAAACATTAAGAGTTGCTTAAAAAGATGTCCTGTCCTTTCCCAACCCTCTTCTCTCCACATAGCCCTTAAAATATGCTGCTTCCTCACCTCAACAGATAACTGCCGAATGCTTATTCCGTTCTCAGCCCATCCAGGCTCTTACAGCCAGCAGCTCTTGCAGGTGAATTTCTTACGTTTGATGAACTTGATTCTGGATCATCACGAAATAGATTAGCTAACCCCTCTGTGTGACATTTGCAAGGTACCTTCAATAAACCACCACTCCTAGGATGTTCCCAATCTTAGACATTATGGTACTGAGTATCCTAAGCAAGTGCCAGAGGCAGAGAACACTGTGAACTTTAGTGACTGCTACTACAGGAAAGGAAAAAAAAAAAAATTAATGGTAATAACAGCTACTAGTCTATTATTCAACCTCTAAACCCAAAATCTAGAACAGATTCCAAGTATTAAGAGACATGGGACTGCCTCTCTGCATACTCAACCCTTAGTAAAAAGACAGAAACCAAAAAGGCCTGGACATCTCCTTTGCTATCATCACTTGTCCCTGCACTTCTCGTCACAAGTCAGAAAGCAATCCACTCCCCCTGCTTCAATATAGTCTGTTACTACGAAAAGGTGTCTCAGATATGCACGGCAAGGAGTGGCTGAACTCCGGAGCAGAAACTGCAAGGAAGTAAAAGCAGCTGGAAAGTGCCCACAAGCAGCATTAGTTGCCCAAGGTAACTACTTAGGAGTGGAGCAGTAGGTAGCTTTCTTCCACCCTCCTGTCCTTACAGCTTCTCCAAATTGTGTATGGAAGAGGTAAAAATAACAAGAAAAACAGTAATTGAAGTTTCTGCTACCTTTCAGTCTACGTGAGTTCATGTTCTTTACTTCACTTCCAGCGTTTGGCCTCAGGCGATCAGCGGAAGAGCCTACCTGCTCTGCAGAAAGACACTCTGCAAGAGAATAAGAAAGGTTACGCAACAAATACCAATTTCAAGTCAGTGTATGAACCTCAGTTCAACCACAACATGTGGAAGTACAACCGGCGTTACTCTCAGCCTAGCTGCTCAGGGGAAAAGTACTATTTCTCCAGGAACATTCCGCATCCTAGGATGGTCTGTCACATACCAGGTAAGAGTTGTTGAGGGACCACACAGATAGCCTGGACAACTGCCCTAGCAAGCACAAAGAGAAATGTGAGTGTAACGCGATTTTGTTCCAAAAGTACCCGCTGCTCCCGTTTCCTGTTTAAGAGAAGCATTTCATCAAAAAAAGCCGTTACCTTCATTTCAATACACTAAGCATCTTTACCCGTCCTCAGCAATGAATAATCTCAGGTTGGTAACGTAAAGGTTAGCAGCGCTAAATTCTTTACAAGGTACAACTAAAACTATTTCACTAAGACAACTGTCTGGGATTTCTTTTAAGCTAAAATAATTTCTTTCAAGCTAAAATAATTTCTTCCTCTTTCCTTCTGTGCTCACAAGTGTACAGACAGGTTGTCACAATTTTTTTCTCTATTTCACTCTCACCTAAATAATTCTTGTAGCTTTCCAGAAGCAACTTATTACACAATGCAGCATTTAATAACAGTAACCTGGTGCTCTAAAAACACCGTGCTGCTCTGCTGTGTGTTAGATCTAGCTGTGATTACTCTGCCTACACCTGAAAGGAATACAGTCAAAATCACAGTGCCATCTGCATCAGCAGAAGAAATAGTACTTCTAGGGATGGGCTTTTGTTTCAGAAGCTGACCCTGGATGTTTGCACAAAGACATCTTTCTGGCAGCAGCTGAAAGAAAATTGCTGATACACGGCCAGATTTACACTGCAGAAGGCACAGAAGGGTCACGAAGGGGGAAAAAAATCTCTGCCAAGTTCCTTGGAGACGGTTAGAATAAGTAGACAGATATTGCATCAGGATTGGTATTGGTAGTTGATGAGTCTGTAATACAACTTTTGTAAGAAGGGACGAAGGGTGATGCAGGGCCAAATCGGTTCTGAATAAAACTCAATTTCTTGCATCTCAGAAGGGATGCCTTTGAAGGAACAAAGCAAGACTCCTCCTTTCAGATTGACCACCCAGCTTATAATGTACACAATTCTGTGTGTCTGTGTGTGCATATATTTATTTTTATATATATAAAATCTACCTAAAGTAAAAATATAGAATATATAGAAAATAAAGTATGTATTTGTGTGTGTGTGTGTATCTCTTTTTCTAGAACCTGGTAAAAAAGACAAGCTGACCACAGCCAGCAAAGGCCAAAGTCTTACATGGCTTAGCCAGATTAATTTGGTGGATATCTTTGTACTCTCAGCAGAGTAATGCTTAGCTGTAGTTACTTTCTGCTTAATATTTGTCTTATGTCAGATACTAAACAGAATCAAGGTTCTGAAAATCCTCATCAACTACTTAATAGCACTGCTTTTGCCATACTAAATCCAGTTTGACTTACGTTAATGATAAAAATAGTGGTTGTTTATAAAATTCCTTTTACCCTGGCTAAGAAAGGAGGATTCTAGTTCTTCAGTAAATGCTGCAACTCTCATTGAAAACCACAAGCTTTCTAAGAGAGGTGGAAGAATGACACTTATTTCCTGACTTGGCATAGCTAAATGAGCGTGCTTCACCCTACCTGGCCACTCTCCAGATTTTATCTGGAACACTATCACTGTTCAGGCAGTGGTTGATCATACCGTCCTCTGTAACAGACTGCTTATGGCCCTCTGCCATCTATTCAAGTATGCCAAGTTTATTCACTGTTTACACACCATTCCATACGCCCTGTATTATTACATACAAATTTCAGGTTTGATACCTCTGTTTTCCATTCTTCCAGCACAGACCCTCCATGGAGATCACCTGCTAAGTTAACTGTGTGTGTTTATTGTAGTAAAGACTGTATCCTTTGTTTTTTTGCACAGGATTAAACAATGCTCCAGTCTGTGTTGTAAGAAGCAGCTTTTCAAGAGAACACCCATCTGCTAGCAACACAGTCATCCCCAAGCAAGAAGCTGATCAAGAACATGTGCTAACGGGGAAAGCCAGAAGCAATACATCTGCCAACTGCTACCTTCCAAAGCTGGAGGGTTTCAGGCGAAGGGAGCTAGGCACTTCACAGTCTGTGACACGTGAGTAGAGGCACCAAACTGCCGTATTATACAGCAGCAGCAGAGGAACCTGAGCTGTTAAAGGTGCAACTGGGTCTCAGCCAGAGCACTGTGTCATCACAGCTCAGGTCCAGGTAAAGGGAACATAGGGCAATGAACGTACATTTAAAAGGCAAGTATTTCTTCCCTTCTATGTGTGTTAGTCACCACATCTTACAAGATTTCTCCTCGCTAATTACCCTTGCATCTTTATAGCTTTTAGAGATTATATGCTCACTAGACATCTAATAATTTCACAATTATCAGCAATTATTCCATCCGTAAGCAGCATTCTGCAGTAGTGGTTACACTATAGCACTACAAGCATGCATCTATAAAATACACTTTCCCAGATTTTCTTCAGATTTCTTAGACATCTCAGCAAAAAATTGCATTAATGTACTATGTGAGGTAGTAAAAGCAAACAAAAAAGGAAAGAAATACACCCCCTTAGAGATATCTAAAATATGTCTTGTGCATTTTTGTAATTAAAAATGACCCCCACCCCGATATAACATAAGGTGTACCTTATGGCCTTTAATTTTCAATTTGAGAAAACACTCTGCCTGTTGATTTCCAGAAGGACCTGCGGATGTTCCTAAAAGGATTCAAAATAACCCTACTTCATCTGAAAAGGTAAGGGAAAAAAAGACACAGCTCTCTATTTTGGTGCTCTCTCTCTCACTTCTCAACACTGTAACCTGAATTGACAGTCTCAGACTGCTAAGGAGGACAGTGCAGAACCAAAAAGAGGGATGTGAGGATCCCATGTGTAGAACACGAGAGCTTGTAAGGGAGATGGTAGCTTAGATAACTAAGCTATAATTGTATCACTTTCAGCTCTGTAATGTCACTGTGCTTTGCTAGCAAGAAAAACGGTCAAACCCAATGAAGATGGGAATGAAATTCACTTTGTTTCAAACTGCTGGGGAAAAAAGTCACACTATACAATAAACAAGCACAGGAAAAAGCCTCCTCCCCTCATAACACAAAGATTCTTTAGATTACTTACGGCCAACAGTTTTACTTTTGCTGACACTATTTTGTAGAAGCAGCACGCTGGGGTTTAGATCCAACTTTGCAGCTGTGTTCATAAATTCCAGTAGAAGATTCTTTCTGCAATAACTCTTTAGTCTCAAGCTGCAGGCTATCTAATTACTCGTCTCCTCTATTGCGACTGTACGAGAGCTGAGGGCTAAGCTGGTATTCCATTACAAACGGTATCACAAGGAGGATTGCACACTCTTGAGAAAAAGGGAATGCAAGTGTTGCTGCACTGGTACTGGACAGCAGAGGGCACTACGAAGACGTTTGGCAGTAAAGATGCTAAAAATAAGGACTCGCTTTTCTCCTAACTTTTCTATTTTAACTGCGGGGTGCGGGGTGGGGGGGGTCTGTCTAAATGTTGCTCTTTGGTTCCTGAGCTGGGTATAGTAAAGGCCATGCTTTATTTTTACTGTTCACTTATACATGCAGAACACAGTTCTTCAAACTGTATTTACTGTGGTTTGGCTGCAAAATAACTACATTATGGACAGATACCGCCATATAGCCACACTCAGTAAACTACTGTTTCTTAATAGCCGTTAGTTGCCTTTTTTTTTTCCTCTGCACTTACAAACAGAACCTTTTGCCAATCACATTTTGATTCCTGGGCCCTCGATAGACTGGTGAAGCCTACACACAGAGAAATGAAGAGTAGTGGCTCAGCAGCACACTACAAACCCATGATGGAATAGCAAACAGACCACAGAGGTCCAGGTTTAATCCCTTCCTCATCTGATTTCCATCAGTAGCTACCTGGCATCACTTTCATTCTCATCCAATGTTATGCATTATACCATGGATATCTGTTATTATTCTCAGTGACTGTGTATTAGAAGCTGTAACAATTAACCTATAGGTGGTCATATTCAACCGAGTAACAGTTTTAGATGTGTTTTCTGCTGCACACTCTTGCTGGGGACTAGTATTAGCCATATACTTCACATTGCTTTTAACTGCTGCTGAAATGGAGTCAAACCATTCCTTTACACATTGTCTTCTATTTTGGAAAAGCTTCTGAAAAAACAATTCCAAGCCTCTGCAGAACCTGCAAATAGGCAGGGAATCCATGTTGCGCCTCCCACCCAGCCTTCCTCTCCATTCGTCAACTTGCATTACAGTCCTCGCATCCAGGAGAATGTGTATTCTGACCTGCACTACCTGGATCGGAAAATAAAGGTAACACGTGAGCGCTACGGTATATGGCTTCCTATGATGTTACACATTTTTATTTCTATTGAGGATGGTGTGGGACTTTGTTGGTCAGATTTCCCTCCCCCCGCCACCCCAGTGTGGAGTCTACTGACTTTTGTATTTAGGATTTACTCTTGAGCTGCTTTCACCTAACTGGAGGTTGCTATTGGCAATCACTGGGGGAGCAATGCAGCTGGCACACGGGCTGAAACTTGTTCTCTAAAAAACAGCCTGCAAATATTACATATCACACGCAAGGGGCTTTATATGTAGTAAATACTGCTTAGTATTTCCTTCCTGTGTCTCTGAAGTGCTGCGTACACGGCATTAGCTCAACATCACCTTTTGCAGACTGGTGTCCTTAGCTCAGACTGTGGCAAAACTCATGGGACATCTTAGGCTAGGCAATTTGCACAGCTGTAAAACTGCACACTCACACAGCTAGAGCTAAACTAAAACACATGCAAAAACTGCCGCAAATCAGCTTCTCTTCCTTCATGGTAATTATCCTGTACCTCTTCCAGGTGCTGGAAAAACTCAGCAAAATTTTGCAGACAGATTCGCTTACCGAGATCCAAAAATGGCTCACAAGGGCAAGTGAAAAAGGTAACAAACAAATGCATCTGCATCCCTTTCTGAAAAGCACGTGCTCTTGTACATTCGCATAAAACCCTGAAATTCTCATAGACCTGAACTGAGTGGGGTTGCTGAGGTGGAAGGAATAGGATCCAGTGAAGTGTGCTTGGCTCAGCTGTGGCTGCGCTGAGCCGTAAGGTGACAGTACACAGAAATTAGTCACTCAGACCTCAGCGCACTCAGGTTTGGTGCAGGGTGGAAAAACGTGCTCTCCCAGTGGGGCTCTGGGCTGCTGTGGCTGGGGGAAGGCAGAAAGCAAATGAAACATGTCTTTCATGTCCTTAAGCCCTTTGAAAATGAGGTAAGGGAACTCCTGCATTCATCCCTAAACATCCAGAGCAGCAAGTGGGAACTTTAATAACATTTCTGCTACTTTCACATTTCAGAGAAAGACTTTGTGTCCAGTCTGATTTATTCAGAACTGACTGACAAAAGCGAGCTGAATTCTAAGGAAGGTACAGCAGAGAACATGAATAACCCGAGTCCGCTAACGCATCTCCCTCCTCTTCAGAGAGGTCCAGAAAGGGAAATGAATTGGTCCAGGTAAAATCTGCAATGAGGTTGCTAGGATTAGGGATAAGCTAAACCTCATAACCAGAAATTTTTGCTTTCTCCTCCTGTGAAAAATGCAACTTTGTGATTGAAGTTTATTATGCACAGCCTTAATCAAAAATGCTCCTAACTACAAACAACTCCACACTCTTTGATATAAATGTAGTTATTACAGGAGCATCACAAAGTTTTAGGAGCACTTGAAACCCCTTTGAGAAAAACCTCCTGTATATTGCAGTGCACAGTTTATACCAGTTGTAAAGTTAGACATTCTTTCTTTTTCACTCAGGTCTTCGGCTAAAGAATCACTGGCAAGTCAAAACATGAAACAGGGTAAGTAATGGAAATTATAAATGTTAAGACACCATGTGTCTAGGATGCTAGTCACCAAACAGCACAGGGACTGTGAATGTTCAGAAGCTCTAACTTATGCCTTTGCAGCAGGACCCAAATTAGAATCATAGAATTCAGTGACAATACAAGAAATGACATTTAGAACCTGAATTTAAGTTCTCTAAGATCTAGATACCCAAGACCCTCTATTCTTGCAGCCACTCAATTGGTTTCTCTTGATATGACATTCATGTAAATCTTCTCCTAACTGGTGCAACTCAGAAATACAGCAAGGTGAGGGACGTGTACAACTCCATGTGCCTCTTGCTAGAAAGAACGTAGCAGCAAGAGGTACTGATTTAATCTCTTCCCTAAAATCTGCTCCTGTAAGTTATACACAAGCTGAAACTCCTTGTGCCAACGAACTTTGGGATTCGCCCTCATCTAACATATCTCCCTCACTTTGCAGGCTAAATCAGGCTTTCTCAGACTTTTTCAGCTACCAAAGCCCACTTTTGCATCCTCTACCCAGTCAGGGCAAGCCAACAATACTGGCACTCCCAAGAAACACCACTATCACCTCTTCGTGTCCCTTCTGAAGCACGCAGAGGCAACAAAAGTCAGTCCCAGAGTATGTTACCATTTTAACAAAGCCATTCATGCCAGCTCTAATGCTACCAGCATTCACTATTGTTTGTAACTCTACTGGAGGAGTGGGTGAAGGGTAATCTTACATAAGAACAAGAAGGAAAAAGAAGAAACCTCCAAAGCAACAACTTCTGCTCTTCAAAGTGGTGTCCAGGGAGGCTTCTTTGCTAAAGAGTGGATGTGCTTCTATACTCTCAGCTGCGTATGGAACAAAGCCAAACCAGTCTAACACAATCCTAAGCCTAGCCTGATAATATACAGCTTGCTTTTTCAAAATGTTTTCCAGAAAGGAAGAAAGAACGTCTTCTGCTCTCAGCGCTGAGAAACAGAGATCCAGCACGAGCAGACATGCTGTTCCGAGGGAAGAACTGCAACTGAGAGTGTGCTATGGAAACAAGAGACCATCCCGCCTTCACACTCTAGCAGAAGTCTCACCTGTGCCACAGACACCCCCAAACAACAAATATCCCCTTTCCAGTAGAGGCCCCCTATTGAGAGGCACCAAAGCATCTCCCAGTCACTTTCACATATAGAAATATGTAATCTTAGCACTTATATTATAAAGCTATCTGTTCAGACTCCCTGTTATATAAAATAATTTTATGCTCATTATATTTAGTCCTCAAGTGACTCAACCAAACCATGCTGCATAGGTACAAGTGAGCTAAGCGAAAAAAAAGGACAGAGGCAACATTTTCTGGCATCAGATTCATCTTTTTCCGTGACTCAGCCAGGCCTGCACAAAGAGCTCTTGTGTGCAGACTTGACTCCACAGTCACAGACATACTGGGGTAAGAAGAGGGGCACACACACATTATCTGCAGAGATGCACGTCAAGCCCCAGGCACTGGGAAGAAAAAAGACCCTGGATTTTCAAACTCTGGCCTGCAGAGTAACTGCAGATGTCTGCCTCACAGCAAGCTAGAATTTGCTTCCATAGCTCTCATTATTAGCAGAGAAGCATCACAAATTGTAGTACCCAATGTGGGGGGGACGACAGGATACGGCTGGGACGGGACGACACCAAACAAGTATTAAAACCACCATGCAAACCTCAAGCCATTGAAATAGAGGCCAACAATGACAGAAATGTACCTGGCCCTTTTTCAGGTCTTGTGAGTGAACTGTGAAAGCAGAATAATTGGGGTTTATCTGTTTTAAACATACCTCTGTCAATTTATTCTCACAAAACCAAAGAAAGGTGATAAATCAGCCCTACTTCCGTTTATTTTCCAGAGCAAGATTATTCAGTGCAGACAGGCTCATTCAAAACATCTGGCTGTTTGAGGGGGAAGGAGAGAAATCCTGCTAGCACAGCGTTAAGGAAAGAGGAGCTTAGCTCAGAGCAGAGCTCAGTGTACTCTTTCAAAGAGCCCCTGCCTTCACTTCAAATCATGTTTACTGTAGTAACAACTACCGCCTCCATTCCCGTTTCCCGCTGCAGGAGAGGAGTATGCGAAGACCTGGGGAACAATCTCAGCTCTGCTTTCTCTTGGGGCTCACTCACTGCTGCACATAAGCAGCCAGGTAGAGTGCCGGATGAAGCAGGCTGGTAGGCGTGAAGTAACCTGTAGCCGCAGATCAATGGAGAGAGTACTTGTGAATGGCTGGCAGGCAGCCAGTCACCCAGAGCGATTACTCAGGTCCACCTGCCAACTCAGGCCACAGATGCAGAAACTCATTTGTACAAAATGATTTAAATGGGTATCAATTTCCCAGATATGTAATTTCTATAGAGCTGTATGAGAGTATGAGCCTGCAGGCTGCAGTAAATGGGAGCGGAGCTGGAGAGGAGCTGGCAGTGCTTTGAAACTTCCCTTGTGTCTTAGGTGTAAATACTACAAAGTCAGCTGGAAACCAAACTGGAAACCAAGTGAACTGGAAACCAAACAGCAGGGTTGAGTGACCACACACTGATTGAGCTGCGGTAATGATTTATTGAATGGGCCAGATACTTGACCAAATGCTTTTGGGCCATACTCAGATTGCCTTAATTCCATATAAATCTCTGTCCTGAGTGTTTCTTATCAGCTGTCTCTCAGCATCATGCTGCGTTAGCTGAGCCTGAAAAACTTAATTACGTCTCAGAGGCCTTAGAGGCTCACTACTGAACAGAATCAAAATGAAAGCAACCATGTTAACATAGTCTTTCAAGAGCACAGTTATATTTCCTCCATGAAGCTGACAGGTTACTGAGCAAACATGTTAGAGCCAGAAGGGCAATAGTTTGCAAGGATAGTTACAATCAATTGCATCTTCTCAGTCATTTCCCTTCCCAAAGCATCTGTTACTTTACTTGCTAGATGTCTGAAAGCAAAGCTCCCTCAAGGGCACTTCACCCATCCTAGTAGTAAAGTAAGAACAAGGTTATGTTCAACGTGTGAACTGCAAGATCAGAATTAAAGTTATGTTGGGAAGTGCCTCAGATATGTAGCAACCTGTCGATCCAACCTGTACTTTGCCATTCCCCAATACAAATGTTGCCCAGTCAAGTTTTCATCCTAAGCTTAAGTTGTGCATGTGTCCTCCGATGCCTTCCTTGATCCTACCTGTCTGCTTTATCAGTGACCTGGATTCTCTAGCAGGAGAAGCCGAAGCAGATTCTTACAATCATGTCAGGGCGCAGCAGGGACGGAGAAACTCTTAAGACTACTCTGGCGAGGCAGCTGCATTTCTACGTCCTCTAATAAAATTAGATGCCCCATCTTCTGAACTATCACTTGTCCCTACCCCCAACAGCTGGGAGTCTGCAGTCTTTAGGATCTGTCTGCTGTTACTGAGAAGGTTTGGATAGCACACCAATTTTAAATGGTCATGCATCCATGTCAAGTATTTCTAAATGCTTCATGAAGTGCTCGGGTTGCAAACCAGCATTTCTCTGCAAGTATTTATTTCTATCCTTCTTCAGAGAGGTTATCCTGTCACTGCAGATCTGGCCCGTTCAATAAATATGTAAAGTCTTTGCACTGTGCAGTGAACACAGAAATAAGTATGAGTTATGCACTTTAGCATGGTAACTAAATATGGGCAGGTTTTCAGAGCTTTCAGAAAAAAACAGAGCTGAGCTCAGGTAGCTGCGCCGCCATTTAAAACAATTTCATTAAGCAGTTAAGAATAAAATGCATTAGAATAACATTGACTATTATCAACTCTACTCTATAACTTATTCACTGTAGGTAAGTAAAGTAACACTTTAGCTCTATCTGACAATGGCAGGAAGCCAGAAGAAACACACTAACAGCGTTCTCCAAAGAAAATAAATCATGTCATACACCTGGACTGCACAATTTAATCAGGGTGAACCATCTTCCCCAACCCGCCCCCCACCAGTTTTATATTAAACAACAGGAAAAAATATATAACAGATATTCCCTGCATCAAGATAAGAAGAGATTAAACATACTGAAAAGCCAAATGCCAGATGCAGGATGCCTAGAGGCCCCTGACTACAATTAAACGAACTTGAAAGCCACACTCAGACTCCCATGATTTCTCACAAATCCCACGATACAGATTTCCGGTCACTTTACTGTTTTCAAACAGTTGCCCATTGCTGCAGAGGTAGGAGGTACTACTTGGGAAGTCCATGCCCCTCTTCACAGAGGCAGCCAGGGACACTCAGGGGTTAAAAAAAAAATGACACAGCATATGAAACACATCAGAGTATGTATTTCAGGATCACAGCGAAATACAGCACAAGACCAAGACCGCTCGGGATGCTTTTCCCAGGGATGTCAGCAAATGGCCACCCTACTAGCCTCCACTTTCACGCTGCAAAAAGAAGCTGGAAAGGCAGGAGGACTACCTTCCTGGTCTGTCATGAGGAGTTGTGGCATCATGGCAGGGACTGGAGATGTCACAAATGGCACAAGCCCTCTTGCTTTTACAAGCTACTCTCTCAGACTCTCTCACAAATAGGTTTCAGTTTCTCACACTTGATCTGATGCTGGGGTGATTTTCATGTGCTCCAACCAACTCAGCTGTTTTCATCAATAAATTTACATTGAACTCATTGCAAGAATGGCCCTTCAGGGCTTCTTGAATCGTCACTTTTCCCTGAGGACTTCTGCATAGCTGCAGCCTGCTGCCTGAAAGTGAATCACCACTTTACTCTAGCATGATCGTGTCTAGTGCTGGTGATTCCACCAATAAACAGCCAAGCATCTAAAGCATTTAGAAAAGGGTTAGAAATCTTATCGGTGCGAATCCAGGTCCCCCAAGAACAGCCTTTTCTAGATGGCTGCAGAACTGTAGGATACTGAAAGGCTGCGGATGGCAGCAGCAGTCAGACGGCTGTGCCCATCGAAACCCCAGTCTACTCTTGCTTACTGCTCTATCTCACCGGTTAACACATCCTGAGGACAGCATCCTGTAGAGACAGCTCATGACAACAGGCATGAACTTCAGCCTGGTATGACCTGATTAGGTTAGCACAGAGAAAACATAAACAGCAGCAATGGCAATTACTGGCTAAAGCACCAGTGAGGACAGGAAGACCAGGTGATCGAGACAAGCAACGCGTATGAACAGGCAACAGCTAGTCACCAAGCTGCTGTGACATTGTGGAGTTAGCACTAGGAGCCTCCCAAGAGCAGCATGACAGACCATCTTTTTCTTCTGCCTATTTCTCCATAGACAGGTAAGCTTCGGATTTGCAACCACTTGATTTAAAAACATGTGCATGGGTGTGTGCGTTTACACACACATACACACACCTTACATCTAATTTCACTAGTGAAGATGTAAGACAGGCTTACATGTTGCAAGCATGTTGCAAGCTGCATGCTTCCTTCACGCCACAAAAATGCTCTGTCAGCAAAACAATTCCGTAAGATGCTTTTGGACCCTTTCCAAATGTCTCCAAAGTCCCTGGTTTGTCTATGCAACCTGCTCTTGAACTCTCCAGCCTGCGTAAATGAGGCACATGTATGAAATGGTCTTAAGAAAACCTTAGAGAGACTGAAGAGTCTTAGATCAGGTTTAATAGGTGCTATGTGCATTAACACGCAGAACCTCAGCTGTAAAGATGTAACTCCTTGTAATTTTACTGCTTTACACATTTATATCAGCAAATCAGTGTAATACATGGTGGGTATACTTATGCTGCAGTTTTTGTTACAGAAATAAAAACAGCAATGCTTTTATGAAAAAGCTGATCTAGCTTCTGGAACAAAAGCAATCACATTTTTGTAAAGCATAACAAAACCCCCCACATTACTTGAGCAACAAACCACAATCCATACTTTTAACCATAGAAAAGTTTCTTCTGTTATTTAACAAGTATAGAGGGAAGCGCACTGAGTGTATAAAGTCATAACCAGTTGGTTGCCAACCCTTTACAGACCATAGGGACTAGTCACCATTTGAAAGCAGTAATA